AGTGGACTTCAACTCCCAGCATGGCTGGCTGGGGAATGCTGGGAGTTGAAGTCCACTCATCTTAAAGTGGCCAAGTTTGGACAACACTGCTCTAGAACAGGGGATCAAAAATACACCGAAATTTTAATGTTACAGACTAACGGATGGAGGGAAGGGTCGGGGTTGTTTATTGAAGCCAAACATCCCCCAGGTATGAATTGGTATCACTGGTGCAATTCCCTACTTGACGTTTTTAGATCACACGCACCTCTTTTCAGTTGTGCAAAAGACCATTTGATAAATAAATAAAGGAATGGCATAAGCGATACCCCTGAGTTCTGCAAATTGGCTTCGGTTTGTGCAATTTCAGCCAATTACACCAACGGGTCTCATGGAGAAAATCTTATCTATGTGGTCGCTAGGTGTTGAAAACGGCTTGATGGCCATCCATCCGTCTGTCCATTGCAACAGTCTAGACGGCTTTGGGAAAAACAGACTTTTTTGTCTGCATTTAGAGAGCGCCAAACGGGGTTCTGTATCATTGGGGTTTAACCATTTGCAATGATACCTCACCCCATCATCCTCAACTGGCTTTCTACAGTTGAGTATCACGTGGGGTCCAGCCAGCCTCCAGAAGTAGCAGAAGTCAACCATGCAGGTTCCTGTCCCCCAGCAGTAGATTGTAAAACAAAGCTTTGTTGGGAAGGTCAACTGCAGACTCTGACGTTCAGTAGACATCCATGTGAATGAGACATGGCTCTCGGTCATGTACAGAGTCACATTTCTCCAGCTGCCCCCTTTGCTGGAGACAGGAAAAAAATCTGGTCTTTCTAAAACAAGGAGCTCAGGAAAAATTCTGGGCTGAGACTAGGAAAGGATGGGGTTTATCAAGCATCTCCTATTCCTGGAAGAATAGGCACAATGTTCAGTCAAGAGTTTCCACTAAGTTTGAGTTTGGTTTGCTGCATAGTCTCGTGTGGGGTAGAGCGGGCGTAGCAGTTAAGGGGTTGGACCGACGCCAAGGAGATCAAGGTTCATCCTCAGCCACAGAATCAGTCTGGGTAACTTTGGGCCAGCCACTCTGCCAGTCCAGCCTACTTCACAAGGTTGTTGAGGAGAAAAAAAAGGGAAGGGAGAACTATGGACCCCAGGCTGAGCTTTTGAATGTAAAGGGGGGATATAAATCTAACACATAAATATATCGATCTTTTTTTTCTCTGGACCATTTACGGAGGTGTATGTCACTTCAACCTTTATTCCACGTTGCAGAGTGTGTTCCAGAAAATAACTTTTTCTCTGTAAAACTGCTTATAATCTAGTCTAGTCTTTCTCAACCTTTGTGACTTTAAGATGGGTGGACTTCAACTCCCAGCTGGCTGGGGAATCCTGGGAGTTGAAGTCCACCCATCTTAAAGTTGTCAAGGTTGAGAAACACTGATCTATTCTATTAATGTAGAACTTCTATACCATCTGTTTTTATGGAGACTTTGTGGTAAACCAGCAGCATCTTATGGCCTCTCCAGAGCATGAAATTTTCTTTGGATTTTTCTTTTTCCAAACTGATTTGCAAGCAGCTCTGAAATTTAATCCCTTCAATAATCCCAGGGTTTGCATTTTAATATTTGAAGTTAAAATAGCTTTTTTCTCCGTTTTATTATTATTTTTAATGGAAACTTGATTTTATTTGTCTATTTCATTTATTGATTGATTTCATCTTCTTGGATCTTCCTTTTTTTAGTATAGTTTTAAATTTTGGATGTATGATGTGTTTTAGATATATTTATAGTTTTAATGTTTTCTGTAAGTCACCCAGAGTCCCCTACTGTGGGGGAGATGGGCGGGGGAGAAATCCAATAAATAATAATAATAATGTGTTACATTGAGATGGCCGCCCGTCTTTCACAAAGCAACTCTACAATGGGTTTTGAGATAAAACACACTGGGGAGGCTGAGACAGATAAAATAAAACAGGAAGATTTGGCTATGCCATGCTTAACCACAGTTAGGTCAATACATCACCAGCAGAGTCCATGCATCGTTGATAGCCATAAACTACGCCTTTCACATCATGATGATTTCATTTGCACAACAGGCTAGGAATACCTTATGGTTCAAAAGGCATATGGAAATGTGATAACTACGCAAGTTCACTTCTAGAGGAGTACAGTATACAGATCCTTTTATTGGAGTTTTCTAAATATCAAGATCAGGACAAAGAAGCCCAACACAGAGAATATTTCACCAAGCAGAACTGACCTAGCTCCAAAGCGTCCTTGTGCAGCTCATCTCTTCTGGAAGCAGATGTTGGAGCTTTTCTGAAATGAAATAAGATCGAACAGGCCGGTGGTCAAATCTTATCAGGGAAGTGCCCAGATTTAGATGGACTTGACCAAGAGTTGAATGGAGAATCAAAACCAGGTTCAAAACATCTCCTGAGCCAAATTTCAGGGACTGGGAATAGCTTTTTCATTTCTGAACGTGGGGCTAGAAAACCTAACATCTGTGGAGTCCTTGGGGTTCTCTGAGCTTGGTTGTTTTCTTGCAAACATTTCATTACCTGGCTAGGTCACATCTTCAGAACCCCAAGGACTCCTCAGTTCAACCCTGAGCTACACATATTCTCTTCTATGGAAATTTAACATCTCCCCCAGATCCATATTTACCCTATAATCACACTTTACCATGTGGATCTCAGCACATGGAATTAAAGGTAGTATTGATCCTGAGAAACCTCCTTTTGAGCAAGGCTACTGGGCGTGGGGATCTTAAAATGTGGTGGCCACCTGTCAAGGGCAGGCAGAAGACAGAAATTCTCCCCCCAAACCGGGCTACGATTGTCCACCCATTTTGCTACCCACAAAAACAGAGAAGTGAAAAACTTCCAAGTCGTTTCCGGCAGTAAACTTGCCGTTCATATTTTAACTTCTGTGCAAATATCGGTGCGTCTTAGTTTCTTATTATTAGAGCTTAGACTGAGTGCTCTCTTTAATATTTGCAAGAAAGAGACACATCAAGGGGACGGGCAGTCCGTTTTTCTCTCCGTCTATCCAAAGGATCGCTCTCTGAAAACTGAACGGAATGGGACAAATTCTGGTATGGAGGGAGAAGCCGGCGAAAGAAGGATCCCGTTCTAAAATGGGCCACCTGCAATGGGGTGCGATGGAGGAAAAAAAATCCTGAAAATTTCCCCCAGTGCAGTAGCTTGGAATGTTGGCAGTGGGTTTCTTCTAAGCCCCGCCCTCCTCTCTCCAGGTCACATGATCCTTGTGTTTCCTAGTGCACACCTGCACACAAAAACACACACACACAGATACAACAGGAAGAAATCAACTCCACGGGAAGGCCAAAACTACTTTTACTGAGATTGGCTAGCCCAGAGTTTCTCCACCTTGGCAACTTGAAGACGTGTGGACTTCAACTCCCAGAATTCCCCAGCTGGGGAATTCTGGGAGTTGAAGTCCACACGTCTTCAAGTTGCCAAGGTGGAGAAACACTGGGCTAGAATAAGAGAATCTTGCAAATCAGATTGTGCCGCACCTCTTCCTCCCACTTCTTATGCTCCGGTGAATTAGGGAGGTGTCTGTCTGAGATGCTTCCAAATATTATCTGTCTGTTGTGGACTTAAAATATGTTTCACCCCTCATTGCTCTACCAACAAATCTGGCGTATCTCTGTCAAGGTCATCTTTCTTACTCTCTACACAACATGTTGCTTCATTATGCAGAAGAAAGCAGAGATGCCTGGAAAAGGGGTTGGTAACAGAGAAGCCATGTTCTACGTACTGGTCCTACCTACCTGGAACACTGGATTGCTTTCACATCAGTCTGAAGCAAACCTTGGATTGGGAGTTAGGATTAAAATCTATCCCTTCCCTCCGTTTACGGCCAAGGATTGGGAGGAGTTTCAGAATTAAATGGGATGAAAGCCCAAGATCACCTTAGGTTTGGTTTCCATTCATTTCTCCTCCAACAATGGACACCTGCTTATTCTATCCACAGCAATAAATTATTGTGCCTTTTCTCATTGATGCATTTCCTCTCCATGCCAAAAGAGAACCAATATCCTGGGCTTCTGTATCAATCCTCAACCCTCTTTGCTTAGGGCCAGGAAAATTATAAGGAGTTGACTCAAGACAACATGACTCAGATTGGAATAATGCATGTACACCCCAGGGTGGAGACTGAATCGCTGGCGTTATGGATGAGTCATAAGGCCGAAGGAACATGCCAACGGGACTTGGCAAAGCCCAGCCATGGTGAGCTGGAAGTAAAAGGGTTGAGGCTCAATAAAAAGTGTATGGTGTGAAAGGCCGCCCATTTCTAATACTGGCCGTGTAGGCCATAATCTGGAAATTCAAACTTTTCTTGATTTATTTTTTTGCCAGCTATTCATTTCCAGAACTCTGTTTCCCTGCTTGCTCTTCCCCATCAGTAAAGAAGATAGCTGAGAATATTACTATGGTTGCCCGCACAGTCAGCCAGATGTTTAGACTGGATTTGGCATTTTTGTCCACCTCTCGAGTCCTTCCCAAGGACCTGGGATA